TGGACAACTTTAAAAGCCAAAAGATCCACACCCTATGCTGTTCTCAGGGTCAGTACTATGGGGTGTCTTGTAAAAAGATATTTTGGTATTGTTGCTAACAAAAACACCTTGGACTGGATCCAAAATGGACATGTGTTATAAATAAATTCTGCTTTATAATAACATACATTTAAAGTACAATTTAACAAATTTGCCATATAGTGTACCTAAGTAAATAATAATGAAGTACTCCTTTAAAGTAAAAAATATGATGCTGAAGTATCCAGTTCCTACTACCACAGCTTAACATGGCTGATTTGATATAATTTCCCTAGTCCTGTGGAATTTTCTTGAACTTTTAACATTTTACAATAGTGACCTGGCACTAGTTTAGGTCCATAAAAACATAATTGTCACAAGTCACACAAAAACATGATAACTAACACAAATTTCTGCACGGCTATGGATAACAACTATAATGCATAATGCTGCAGAGGATCCAAAGCAGCACTCTAAATGACAGATAATATTGAATGATGGTAAATAAGAATTATTTTCTAAAACGTGAAACTAATGTTAATTTTAAGTAGACCACAACATGAAATTACTTCATGAAGTATAGTCTCATTCTATGCTCTCCTGACAATACTCCCAACAGAAAGCTTCAAGTCTATTTGCTGTTTCTTGGCTGATGAGGCATTCATCCTTTAGTTCCCTGATTGTCTTCCTCAACGATTTTTGGAAATGTTTCTCTCGGTCTAAAACATTCTGCAGACTTTTCTTGGTATCCTCTAGCTCGCTGATCACATGATCTAATTTATGCTTAAGTTTCTTTGGGCTGTCCATTACACTGTAGCTATGTTCCTAAAAACATAAATACCAAGTTAGTAAACCAGACCGACAAGCAGTTAACTAAAAGCTTATAACTAGACCTCGGCTGTTTCTCCATGTACTATGCTTAGAGAACATCTTTAAGTTGGTGATCTAAGAGGTTTAAAGAGCATAGGAAAAGAATGGGGTAGAAGCAGTATTTCCGGTGCCTCGGGNCTAGGGAGCCTGGTATAGGGCTGGGACCCATTACTCCTCCAGGGGGGGCCTCCACAGCTGAGATATCCCTCTCGATTTTTAATGGTCACATGTGGGTGTGGGACCACCCCTTTTCATATCTCTGCCCCTCCTACTAGTCTCAAGTTGACTTTTTCTGTATGGTCTTTGTTGTAGGGCCTATTAGGTTCATCTAGACTTCAGGCCATTCTCAATGATGGTTGTAGTTTAGTTGTAATTTTGATGTGGTCATGAGAGGAAGTAAGCACAGCCTTTACATACTCCACCATCTTGACCGGAAATCAAAACCTGTATTTTAAAAAGCATTAAGCCCAGATCTGCTGAGTCAGATGTGATGTTATCTTTCAGCTGCGCAAGCTCTACCACAAGCATTTGGAAAGTTTATTATCTGACATAAATTTGTTGGGGATGCCTCTGCTATCAGCTGACCACAAACCAATGAGCTAAGGTTAGTTCAAAGGTTGAATTTTTACAATAGTAAGTGTCTGAATAGTCTGAGACAGTGCTATTCAAAATAGCTAGCCTGTGAACTCTTTTTTTCCTGGTCCAGAGTGAGAAAATGTGCTTGTCCTAGAATGTAACTATTTCATTCACTGAGAAAGTCTTGTTATGAAAAAAATGTTGGCTGAACTAAACAGTGTGCTTTGAGATGTAGTTGATTTACATTCTGGTGAACACTTCTTAACTTGTACACTGGTCTCTGAATCACATTTTGAATAGCACTATCTAAGGTGCTTTATGAAATTGAATGAATAAATGAATGAATGAGACATATCTAAGATGGGTTAAATGACACTTCAGGGTTGAGGTTTGAGGGGGAAAAGGTGGATGGTGATTAAATAAAATTCTCTCTTTCAGTGGGACAATGTCCCTTCCTTGTTTTTGAGCTGCCACAGGAGGAGGTGGTTATTTAAGGCACAAATAGCCTACCTGGGCACTGTTGCCTGTACCACTGTCATTCCCTAACTAATGCCATTTCTCCCTCTTACTTTTTGCCCTTCTTCCTGTTATCTCTGGCAGGGGATTTAAAGAAAGAAAAAAAATATATGAACAGTTCACTGTAGTCTGTTTTATACACAATTAAATACAATTCTCACAACTGGGTGAGGAAAGTATTATTGTTCAGTTTGTAAATGCGCAGAGAGCTTCAGTAACTTGGCCCAAGTACCATATGTAATAAAGTATCAGATATGGGTTAGAACCTCGGTCTGCGTGGTTCTCTCCTGGGTAGTTTGGTCTCCTGTTCTCACATCCAAGGAGGGTGCTAACAGAATCCAGGTCCTGGGACAGAGTGCCTACATTGACACACTAATGTTCCATTTTGGAAATTTGAGTCTCCTTTAATTTCATAGTTTTGGCACCTTCTTTAATTGCCACAGTCCTGCTCCACTGCCCACTTCTCTGTAGTTGTGTTATATACTTGTATGTCCCTGTAGGTTATGAATGCCTTCATCTTATCATCTTTGTATCTCTCACAATAGTGTATGAAGCTCTGAAAGCATTAAATGTGATAGGTTAGTACATTAAATATGTTAGTCTATAAACTTCTTTATGTGCCTAAGATACATAATAAATAAATGAGACCAAATGAGACTCAAACACTTAAATTTTAAGATGCTGTGGTATGAAACCTACTGAGTATGTGTGTCATTCAATAAAGTAGTACACAGCGAAGAGAAAGGCAACAGGGCCCTACATCAGAAAAATTTTGGGGGAAGAGTGTCCAGTGATCAGGGCCATGCTAGGACATGCCCTCTGAAGTAGAAGACAAATTAGTACAATTTGCATCTCTTACTATGAAAATGGAAACACAATGCCCAATAGGCCTCTTTGGGTTCTGAAGGGAACATATTTCACACCTAAACATACTGCTCTCTGTTCTGTACTGGGTGACATGAAAGGCTGACAGTTTTGAGGGCGGCCCAGAGCAAGAAAGGGGTCTGTGACTGGTTTTTGCTCTGCACAGGACAGTTCTTCCCCAGGCTAAGAACTGTTCTCTGGGGACAGAGGACTGAAGTACATACTGTGTTCAGGTATTTGTTGTGGTAGAAGCAGGCCTGCCACTTGGGTCATCATCTAACCCAGAAGACTCTATGATATTAGAATTAATGGTGGAGCTAAAAATTTGGAAGGAATTAAAGCAAAACCACTGTATATGTACACTTGATTTTTTTCTTCTCATTTTATTAAATAACTAAATGTATAAAAAGCACATACAGCACATTACTAGAGAAAATACTTTATTCTTCAAATATATAATGGATTCTTCACCTCTCAATTATTTCTATAATTTTATCTTTTTATTAAAAAGTAAATATATATATATTTTAACACATTTCATCTTTTCTCAAATTAAAGGCTATGGAATTGTGATTATCTTTAGTAACCAAAGTATAAAGATTTAAACTTAATATGCAGAAAAATGCCATGTCAAATCCATCATACCTGATTTGTTGCTGAGGTTCAATTAGTGTATTGGTTTGTTCCAGAATCCAGAGGCCACTCCAAGCTTTAACGCAGAGTGGAGCCCTTCGGTTGGCCTTGGTTGCTTGAGAAGCCTCTGGATGGGGATGACTGCTTTTTCTCTGCACAGGACAGCTCTTCCCCAGACTAAGATCTGTTCTCTGGGAACAGTGGACTGAGGTATATATTGTGTTCATGTATTTGTTTGGGGAGGCAGGTAGGGAGGACCCTATTTTTTATGTCATGTTTCTATTGGTAACCATTTCTCCATAAAAATAAAGAGCATGTGTGTTGCTCTGAGTCCTTGATATCAATATTTTGCCCACAGTTATCTCTCTCAGTGATACTAAGGCCAACAAAAAAGAACCCAAGGGCTGAGTTTAACTATGAACACAAGTATTAAAAGTGACTGGCAACTGTGATATGTAGCAGAAACTTGGACTTGACTTTTAGAAAGGTCTCCCAGGCTTGATTTATTCAAAGCAGCGTATAGAGAGCTAGAATTTGGACACATTGTTTTGGAGCTATCCTTTTACTTTTCTCCATTGTCCACTGACTTTAATTTTTATACTCAAAAATAGGGTGAGGGAAAAAGTCTCCATCTCTAACACAGAATCTCATAAAATCTAAGGGCGTACCCAAACTTCCGATCAGAGTGTCCATTATGAACTCAAAATTAAATAACTAAAATAAATACTGGGTAGCTAATGAGAGGTTACTTTTTTAAGGTAGTAAAATGACATGACCTCAGTAATTTCTTAGCATAATGCTCATCTCTGAAATGTGGGTAAAATCTCATTTAGAAGGAAGGTTTAGAATCCTACGTACAAATCAAAATATAACATGCATTAAAACAGAAAATTCTTAAATATAAAAAATTCAAGTGACCATATCCTTACTGATATTAATACAAATAAAATTACAATGAACACTTTAGCACAAAATGCAGTTCATTTCTAGTTAACACATTGAAATAATTGATACTCAAATTCTAACTACTATAGCACAGATGTCTGAAGAGATTCATATGTGTACATGTGCTGCAAATTAGAATTTGGCTTTGGGCTAGTAAATTTATTCTAATCCACAGTATTTATGACTCTTAATTTCAGTTGTTTTAACTAAGAAATTAGGAGAAAACAAACATTTCTGACACTTGGATCAATCAGAAAATAGCTATGAGTTATTATTTGTATATTCAGTAAGAAACTATTCTAAAGCTTCTGTTTTACTTACCTATTTCTCTAAATAAAAGCTCTTGGATGGTAATCTGTTCTAATTAAAGGAAAATATTACAACCCTTTCTCCAGTTCCTATTTCAACTGGAAGAGCCATTTTTTT